AAGCCATCTCTCAAATTCATTTCACAACCATTACATGGGCCAAACTGAAATAGAACGTATTTGTGGCTTTCTGTAGATGTTATAAAGACATCCAGAGGTTCCACATTGTTTTTCAGCTCTGCAGAAGAAAAAAGGTCTTGCCATTTCCTACTGCCTGAGGAGGCATTACATCCTTATAGGAAATTAGGAATACTATGAATTATGGGATCTAGCTGTAAATGTTTTGGCAACAACTATGCAAGCTAACTTAAACTGTTCAGGGAATTATTATCACTTCCAAGCCTGCTCCACTCAATACATTAACCACTGCAAATTGGGGACATTAAATAAATGCATAGTAGAGAGATTTAATTCAATCCAGCTTTCTGGATGGAATAAAATAATGTTCTCAGAAATCTTCTTTTCAAATTAGTCACATCAGTTACAAGAGTGTGGACAAGGAGGGTCTCTTTGTCCTTTGCTTGTTTATTTTGTACTTAAAATATCCAGATTCCCCGGAACCATATGGCCTGTTTGCTTTATTAAGTTCCCTGGTCTAACCTGACTACTATCTAATATCTGGATTGGGTTTTGTATACTTCCTGGTACAATTCAAGTTGAAATAATATTTTTCTTAATCTGTGAGATGGTCAAATAATGGGAGAAAATTTTAAAAGTAATCACTACATAAATTGTAGTTTAGATTTGCAAGAGTCCAAGCACTAAAGTTTTTGTTTTTTAAATTTAAATTTTAGATTTTTTTAAAAGTACTTTTTAATTGCAACAATTACCACATCCAATAGACACCTAGTGGATGATGACCCACATAACTCAACAATTATGAGTTATGTGGGTAATCTATATGCATGTTATGAATACAGCAATCAAAAGAAATATGGGCATCCAGAAAGTGAAGAATGCAATTAAGAATAAGACCAGCTTCTATATTGTAAATATTATGAATTGGTCATTTCCTTCCCAGTTTCCTAAATTCCATTGTTCATTTCAAAGATTGTTACACATGTTTGAAGACCACTGTTTTCCAACGATAGCATTTCCCATTTATATTACACAGTATAAATATGAATTGTTTAACAAATATTTTCAGAGTTTAGTGTGCAATTGGACTTGTGAGTGTTTCTGCTCTAGTCAGACACTTTTTTTCTGAGGGAATTTACTGCTTTCTGGGACCAGTTGAACAGCTTGTTTTCCAGTAGGAAATTCCACCTGAAGGTACACACCTAAGGACATACCGATGTTTCTCTACTCACTGAATTTATTCAATGTTTCTTCCAACAGTCAGTCACTCCAAGCGTTATTGAAACCAAAATACTTTTACTTTTTTAATCATTTAAGTTCTAAAATTTGGGGAGAACTTTTGAGATAATTTGCCATATACAAGATTATTTATAGACTACTAAAACAACTAAGATGATGATTATATATCATCATTTTCTATTCAGATGATATCCATTTTTAAAGAATATACAGGGTTGACAAGAAAAAAAGAGAGAAAGAATATACAAGATGGGGTAAAACTAGGTTTACAATTATCTGAGAAATGTATTAGTATTTATTAATTACTGTATTATTTTCCATTCAAACAACTGTAAACCTACTTTTACCCCATTGAAGATATAAATGAATGGATATATTGATGGTGAAGCAATCACTTCCAATTATGAGGTCATGTTAACATTCAACTTGCCCATGCTCTCTCCCCACCATGCTTTTCTTTTCTCTGTGTGGGCCGTAGTTCACTTTGTTTTACTATTCTCAAGCTCTGGCTGACCTTATATCCAACTAAAGAAACATATTTCAGATCATCATATGCTGTCTTCAATTACTTGCAAATACAATGTAATGCATACATAATGAATTCCCTCTCTGGAACAAGACAGTCCATGTTTACCAAATCCAATGAACATCTAGTAGAACTATTGAGACTCCATTGATTGTCTTGTCAGTTTTCCATGGCCTTGATAGTTGGCCAGGTCAAACAGGCTTAGTAAGTCCTATATTCTCACTAATAGAGTTATAAGTGAATTTAAAAAAAAAAAGGTACTTAATAACTTTAATGTCTAATGATGAAAATGGTGAATTGGATAGGGAGAATGTAGCATTAGTATTTAAGAAATAGCAGGTGCAGAGTTAGTAAAGCTGTATTTCTTTAAGCATTTGTGAATCCTAATGTCCATATCAATGAACACAAGTGTGAAGCAAAGGTAATAGCAGTATGAAGAATTCTATATAATAAAAGCCTAATGCAAAATCAAATATACGACGGAATGTCCAGCAAAATGACCAGTCACTATGATGTGCACTGACCACCAGGCAGATGCTCAACACATGAGCTGCCTCCAGCCTGCAGACCCTAGGCCAGCAAAGGTGGGTGCCAGGGGACCCCACCCCCCATTGCCCCACCAGTTGCCCCACAGATGGGTCCTGGTAGCTGGCCAGGCCTTGGGACCCTATCAGTGCAGGAATTTCATGCACCAGGCCTCTAATATGACACAATTAACTTTCAAACCTGGCAAAAAGCACTGCAAACAGATGAAGGCCAGTTCTCAGTGCACATAGCATGAAGTAAGACCATCTATGTGGTGCAGTGTTGTTACAGGCAGGTTACAACTGTATGGCTATAACCAGGTTTTGCTTCATTCATTTTTACTCATTAAGAGAAATGTTTACAAAGTGGTCAAAATGCTTTATGAAGGGAAAACAACAACAACAACAACAACAACAAACACACATTCAGGCATGTCATTTTCTGTTTCAGAATGATTAAACAATAAGTATTGCAGGCTCCTTTTGCTTAGTACCCTAAGAAACAGAATCATTTCAAACCTGCTTATCAACTGAATGGCATCCATTGTGATACTGAAATAGTAATACTTCCCATTGTTTCTTCCTTTAATTTTCTATTTAAAAAAAGACAACTTTAGTGCCACATTAGTGGAATTTCACTGCAATGCTTAAAAACAGATGTAAAGGATTGACTTCTGAAAAGTTGTGCTACCTCAAAATATTTTTTATTCCAATGACTGGTTTCTTTGAGGTCTTACAAATGGTTGATGGCACTTATCTACCAGAGTGCTTTGCAAAGTGTTCATTGACTTTTGGCAATCTGTGCGAATTCTAATTTTTTTTAAAAGGGAGGTATTCAATAACTCACAGGAATGTGTTTATTACTTTATAAGAAGCTAGTTGTATAGAGTGAGGATGCAGTGTTTCCTGTTGGTCATCTCTGTGTGTGTTTCTTCATTTCCCAGATTGCACCCAATCTGCAGTTGTTTCTAGAACATGTCCCTTTAAATCAACAAGAAACAAAGCTCTAATAAGGAGCGCTGAATCAGGCCCATTACCACCCATGCTAATTACGCATTGAACACACTGTACTGTTTACAGAGGACCTTTCTGAGACCTAAGCATCACATTAAACTCGGAGTCTATTCCAGGAGTAGCCAAGTCTCTATAAAAATTTTATTTATCTTGAAAGGCAAATGCTTGTTCCTTGCATAATACCGAAAGACACCGTTACTCCTACTGGACCCTCCCTACGGATCCTTAGAGAGTTAGGTGGCCAATCATTCTTAACGGTGTCAGTAAAGCCAGGGAAAAGGTCAGTTCTGCAGAGAGATGAGATTCCTAGTACTTTATGGAGCCTGAATGGAAGGAAACTACGGAGGGAGGAAGGGTGGACAGGTGGGAGCTGGGGAGAAGAGCGTGTGATTTATTAGGGGGCAATATCTAAACGTGCATAGGAAAGCTGGGTCTCTCTCGATAGTCACAATTCTGGGTACCTGTCATGCACCAGAGACCCTGAAGCAACCATCCGTGTGCCTGCTTGTTTATTTCAGTTCTGGTTTGTGCGTGTTTACCGGAATGTAGTTTTCCTGGCAGCCTCGGCGGCTGGCTTGCAGGGTGTCCGTGTGCCTATGCACGAGGAGAATGAATTAATTACATATTGAAAACATCTGCATTGGGGGCGCCTGCAGTCCCCGCCGCCCCAGCCATTGGGGAGGCGCCGCTCCATCACTTGGTGTTAGGACCGCTGGAAGACCTGGGGACCAGAGCTCCGGGAGCCTGTACCATCTCCATGTGAAGGGGAGGAGGAAGGGAGTCAGCGGGAAGGCGCCCCAGCGACAGGGAGTCTGCTTCCCGGGGGGCCGGGGAGCGGGCAGCCAGGGTGCCCAGACTGCCCGGCAAGTCCCCAACTTCAGCATCGCCTCCCGCCTGGGGAGGGGCGCGCGGCTCCTACCTGGGCCCCCGCCTCGTCCGAGGGCGCCCGGGCCCTTGGGTGTCAGCTCTTGTCTGCTGGCCAAGGCAGTAAGAAGGGCTCTGCCGGCTGGGGGTGCAGGGAAGGAAGGGGAGGGGGGGGGCACTGAGGGGCAGGAGGGGCCGGAGGAGGAGGAGGGGGAGGAGCCTGGGAGGAGCCTGGAGCAGCCAGGCGGAGGGAGGGCTCCCCGCCTGGCCCGCCGCCGTGTTTGCAGGCGCTGCTGGCGGCGGCCCCGCACTCCGCCCGTTGCCGCCCGGCCGCTCGCTCCGCCGGGGAGGCTGCCCGCGCCGCGCCGCTGAGGCCGTGCGTGCGCCGCCCGCTGCGTCCCCGGCCCCGCGTCCCGCTGCGCCCTCATCCCCCCAAGTGCGCGGAGCTGCCGCCCTCCGAGTCCCGCTGCCCGGCGGCCAGGGGCGCGCTGGCCCGCGGTGCCCCCCGCCGCCGCCCCTCCGCGCCCGGCGCACCCCTCTCCCCCGGCTCCCCGCACTCTTCTTCGCATTGGCGCCCTGTCCTCCGATCGTTTATTTCTCCCCCTTCGGAGGAGGCAGAGGGCGGGGTAGGGGTCCCCTCCTCCTCGGATCCCCCACCCCCTCCCTCTCTCTCTCGGGGTGAATCGCTTCCCACCTGGCATTTCTCGGGCGCCCCGCAAAGGCCAGCCTCGCGCGCCGCCGGAGGAGGAGAAGCCGCGACTCCCCGCCGCCGCCGAGGCTCGGAGCGGAGCGGGCGGAGGAGCCTGGCGGGCGCAGTGGCCCGGGGCGGCGGCGGCCGGCGCTGGGCGAGCGCAGGGCTCTGAGGACAGCCCCCCGACGCCCCGGGAGAAGCCCCCGCGGGGCGGGACGGCGCCCCTCCTCCGTCGCGAGCCCCTGGAGCACCGCGGGCCGGGAGGCGAAGGATGCTGTCGGCGCGGCGGCCAGCGGGCTGCGGGGCAGCGCTGTGGCTCGGGCTGGTCAGCTGCGTCCTCTGCAGAGGCTGGACGGCCCCCTCCGCGTCCCGTGAGTACCTCCCGCCGGCTCCTCCCTGCAGCATGGGGTGCCCCCCCCCCCGGGTCCCCCCGGGCAGGTGCCCTCTCCCTGGTGCATCCGCGGCGCTCGCCCCGGGCTGGGGCGCCTGTCTCATGCACTTGCAGCCGCTGCAGCAGGCGGACTCTCAGCCCGGCGGTGCTCCCGGTCCGGGGCCAGGGTGGTGACACTGCTGGAGATGTTTCTGGAAAGTTGTGCCTGGGCGCAGAGATGGGTTGGCAGCTGCTTGATTAGAGAGATTCCTGCAGATGACAGCTTCTCTGGAGTTGCTCAGCCACTTCGGGGAGTGTGTGTGTGTGTGTGTGTGTGTGTGTGTGTGTGTAGGAAGTTCTTGGCATTTTGCATCGCTGGGTCCGTGGCTGGAAAGAGACCACTATGGCAGAAATAAGTTTCTTATTTTTATTTTATTTATGGTTTCAACTTCAATGAGCACGTACTTGGGGTTGGAAGAGGAGCGCATCTTGAGCCTTTGGACACCTACGGACTTGTCTTTAAGCCTCCCTCCCACCCACCTCCCCGAGAAGGGAATGGCCATTGAGTTCTTGCTTATTAAAATGGAGACGGTGGGTCCAATAGTCTCAGGGAAACTGCCTACGTTCTGTTCTTTGGCTGTTTGGGGTAATGCAGTCCAGGACTTGGGACAGGCAGGCAGTGCAGAACACCAGTGATGCAGTAGTGAACAGATTTCAGGTTCTCAGGAAGAGGATGCTGTTCCGTGTGTTTATTTCCGTGTGTTTTTGCCAGCTTAAAAAAAAATTGCTCATGTTTTCATGAGGTTAGAAAGACAGAGAGGATCCCACCGCATCTTCTGCATTGCTTTGGCAGTGCATGGCTGCTGCTTGGTCCAGAAAGAGTTAAACACTGCTAAGGTCGCCTGTAGTGAAAAATCTTAGGGTAAAGTTCATAGGCATGGACTTGTCTCTGAGAATGAGCAAAGTGTTAAACAATGATCATGAAAGTTTAATAATGTCTTCCATTTAAAAAGAAAAGTTCGGTGTTTTCCAGAACTCATCCTATGGGAAGTAGTCCTGTCTCTGTTGTTTACAAGATCCTGGGTTGCATCAATGCACCTGTGTTTCTGTGTGTTGCTATCAATGTTCTTCTGGGGTGTACATATGAGTAAGAGTAAGGATTGACAAGGACTTTGGAAGGTGTGCTAAAGAATCTACTGCATAACAATACCATATGATGAACCAGCATTGGCTTTGAGATATTTTCCCAGACAGTATTTTCTTTGCTTTTGTTGCACTGAAAGATATGGAAGCCACTGAATGGCAGTTTATAATGAACTTGAAAAATATTTTATAGGTGTGTTTAAAAAAAATAGATTAAACCTAAAATGTGATATATTATTGATGCTTTATGTCCGTTTAAAAGGTTGAAACAAAAATTGTGAATATAATGAAATTGTGAAAATATAATGTTTGGCATTAATATTTACATAAACATCTGACTATATTCTGAGGAAATTATTTTGATGAAGTTTGTTTCTACCTCAAGGTGTGTTGATATAGAACTAACTGCCACTTTTCTAAGAAAATAAACTTATTATGAAGAAAGTTTATTCCATTCACTGATTGAAGGCGCTCAAACTAGGGTTTTGCCTGACTTCTGTATTTCGTCTTTCTGTCCATCTTAGTTGTAACGGATGAATCTGAAACACTTGTCATGTGTCAAGCCTGGCACAAATACAGCCATTGGGTAAGAATGGGAAGGTTGTTATCTCAGAAATATAGTCTTTGTTTCTCCAGCTTAGTTAGAAATTGGAGCTAGAGAAGAGCAGAGACATAAATACTTTAAGTATTTACGATAATGAATGTTATGTTTGGTTATTAAAATATATTTATTGAGCTATTATATTTCATTGTTTAAAAATGTTCTAATGTATATTGTTTAAAAATGTACTTAATGGCCTCATTAAGATGACTTTTTACTTCATCTTAACTTAAATTGTGTCACCAAAACCCAAAGTTGCCTCAACTCCTGGAAGAGGATTAAATAATATGAGTGATATAGGCTTGAATGATTATAATGAGCTTTCAGTAATTATAATGTGTGTTCAGTACTTTAAATGTACATTTTTGCACTTCATGAAACATTGTACTCCTATACAATTCTTCCCAAGAAGAATGAGAGTTATATTCTTAATACTGAGTACATTCAAAGGGGAAAAAATGGTAACTATGATAATGAACAACTCAACCAGGAGAGGTCATCACAAGACAAAAAGTATTATGAAAATCAAGAAGTAATTTTTGTATTTGGTACACATTTCAAAATATGATGTCAGTGCTAAAACTTTTTGTCCTCAAATAACTTTTTAATATGATGGGCATTTTTTAGGAGACACATTCAAAATTTTTTTTTTTTTTTTCATTTCAATACCGTTTCCAATACACTAGTATATTTGCCTTTGGCTTACTTCTTTTTTTCTGTTATATTAAAGAGCATATTATTTCTGATACTATGCTTTTTAAATATGTTTTTTATTATTGATTTTTTTTAAGAGGAAGAGAGGGAGGGAGAGAAGGTAACATCCATCAGCTGCCTCCTGCACGCCCCCTAGTGGGGATCAAACCCTAAACCCAGGCATATGCCCTGACAGGGAATCAAACTGGGGATCTCTCAGTGTATGGGACTGAAGCTCACCAAGTGAGCCACAAGGGCCATAGCTTGATACCATGTTTCTTACAATCAGTCTAAGATAACTTTACATAAACTCATCTCTAGGATTACGTAGAAAGAGTCTAATTTCCTGACAGATAGTGAAAAGGAGCTGATGCTGAGCTGATGGAGGCATACAATCTTCCTTCCTTATAAATATACATGTATAGGTCACATACGTAAAGTTTAAGTAGAATATTTTCTCTTAGGGAGTTGCATTTATTTGAATATATTTGAAAGACCCTGGTAGTGCAGTTCTAAACGATGAGGAGATTGAGGCAGAATTTCATGAATTTAATTTATTCCCAAAATATACTAGATTTTGGCTTAAATAGTGCTTTCTGATAAAGGTCACTTGACATTATTTTGTATACCCATTAAAGTATAATTTCAATTACTATCACATTTATGAAGTGTGTCTTCATTTGATCAAATTCTTTTTAACAAATATGTTTTTACATATACAAGCATATCAATATCTGTATGTACTAGTATATGTAGGTAAATATTTGGGAAAATTCTTTAAATGCATGTTATATAATATACAAATACATAATATCATTAATATAAGATTATATATTTATTGTATGTAAAATATTTACATATTTTCTGTCATTTCTTTCAAGGGGTCTAACTTGCCTACAAGTTCATAAAATTCTTTTTTTTCAAGTAATGCAACAATATCAAAACCACAGGATATTGGCCTATTTTCTTTTTCTTCAATTTGTATAACACCTTACAAGTGGTATCTTTCAAATAGTGAAATTAAGTATAAAGTATATAGTAAATATAAAAGAAAATACTACTGATTTACATTGAGCTTGAACATAGCCTTAATAAAATTAATTTAATTTATTTCATTTGAATTTACATTGTGATAAATTAACAAAATAACATTGTCTTAATACAATGAATTTAAATAAAAAAGTGCAATAGGCTGGCAAAATGTATGGGTTGTGAAGAGGTAACACATTGCTGAAACCTGTTTGGCTCAGTGAATAGAGCATCAGTCTGTGGACTGAAAGGTCCCAGGTTCGATTCCTGACTAGGGCATGCACACTGGTTGTGGGCACAACCACAGTACGGGGTGTGCAGGAGGCAGCTGGTCGATGTTTTTCTCTCACCAATGTTTCTAGCTCTTTATCCTTCTCCCTTCCTCTCTGTAAAAAAAAAATCAATAAAAATATATTTTAAAAAAGAAGTAGTACATTTTTTTACTTAATGTTAAATAATAATAAATTCTATTTTACCTTTAATAGAGAAATGTGTACCCCTGATTTCATTATCAGCACAGATATTCAGGAAACAGGAACCTTTGTCCAAGTTTTACTCCTTTAACACCAATCTATGATAAAATTGGGTTAAAAAAAAAGAATTCACAATCCAATAAAGGCTTTCATTAACCTTTATACCATTTCAAACAGACAACATATCCTTTGCAGATGACAACTAACATCAAAGTTGTTTGATGCGTATCATATTTTAAAAATTAGATTTCTAATTTATGTTTTCTATTTTAATTGGCAGGGTGTTTGAAGTTCTCTAAGTTCTCTGAGATTTTTAAATCACTTGTTTTAATTAGTAGATTCTTCCAGAGAAAATCTTAATAATAAGTCCTTAAGGCTGAACTATAAAGTCTTCATTTCTGATGTATTGTTTTTTATGATTGAAACATAAAAGGAATTTGCTATAGTTCCCCTTTGTCTTGTTTCTCTTTTAAAACTCAGTATTATTCGTACAGAGTAAGGAGAGATTCTAGGCTTAGAAATCCTATCTCTTCTGGTGTGTGATTTTCTTAAAAATGTTGAACATCTGGAGGACCAACTTCATGTTATCTGGGCAGTGATTGATGCTACCAAGTTGAAGAAATAAAACATGTAATTTCAGAAATTTCCCATATCTAATCTTTTAGAGAAGTGCTTTATCATTTATTGCTACTTGAAAAGTTCAACAACAGAGTGCATAATTATAACATCAAAACTACTATGTCATGGAAATAAAGCCAATGCTATGCTTACATCTGCATAAGTAGTTGACATAGAATGGTATCAGTGTTTCTAAAGAATACATACTGGTAGTATAAGCTAAGTAGATGTTAGGTATATTTCTATAATCATTTAATGAATGGCATTTGGAAGGCATTATGTGCTTAATTTTGACATTTTAATGTGCAAGAATAGTCATAGAATGATCTTCACATAGCCTTTAACTTTTCAAGTGAGAATCTTAAAAGAGAACACTTCTCAGCTGTCATCAGTTAACACACAGGATCTTCCATCTCCTGGGGTCTTGAGAACCTGTAAGCGATA